CAGTCTGGGATACTCTGCTATGGTAGCCCTAGGAAACTAATACACTGTACATCTTAATATTATAGAAATAAGGAAGTAGTTTCATAACTCATTAGCTTCCTTCCTTTCCCATGAACCCTAGAAAAATTCTAGAATTAAGAAAAATGCGTGGATCTGAGAAATGAACAATCACAACCACAACAAAAGGAGACACTCGTTGGGAGTCCAAAGGTAGTTTTGAAATGGTGTGGGAGGTACGCATGTTTATTGGGGGAGTGGGGTGGACTCAGCCTGGGGTAGCAGGCAACTGGGAGCAGCCATGGAAGGCTTGGAGGACACCAGCAGCAACATCCTAATCCTACCCATGTCTTACATCAGGGTAGAAGCATTAGGGCACCTGGCAGGGGAGAAGACTTGATGAAAATAAAACACACTGTCCAGCTCACTTGAGACATTGACTTCTTCACCCTTGCACCCCAAGTTCCAGAGTTGATGGATTATGAACTGGGGAGTTAGTGTCTCAAAGATATTTCTTCCCAATGGATTAAAGGTAAAACTCTCAAAGAGTAGTTGCCTGGTGGACAGCAATAAGTGGAAGTGATTAGCACTAATTTTATGGTGATTGGAGCTCAGTGACTTCTTAAATTCACCTGGAGGGTCACACATGCCTCTTCCCCAATTTCACATTACCAGAAGTTCCCATGGGCACATGAGCTCACAAGCCAAAATAACTTGGCACCTGTGGAGGAGCAAAGAGACCATAAAATGAAGATAACAAATTGAATCACACATACCAACTGAATCAGAATTATTAGAACAGATGAACCAAAAATTTAAAATATGCATGATGAATATACTTAAGGAGGTGAAGGAAGATATTAGCAATATGAATAAGAATAAGAAATCATTTAAAAGTGGAAATATGAGTTATGAAAAAGGAAACATTCTGAAGAGGGAGATGGTACAGACCTGGCCTTGACAAGCTGGGGGTGCTGCTGCAAAGACACTGGCAGGCATGACAGCTTGGTACACAGGCTCCCAACTAAAATTCTCAAGGTCTTCTAAAAATCCACAAGCCACTAAAATTGTTCTCTTTGATCTCCCTCTATTGTCTTATTCAACCTCCTGGCTAACCATATACCTCGAAATGTGTGTACCAATCACTGTTTCCAGAATGTCTGTGGCCGTTTCCCTTTCTCCAGTCATTTAAGTTCAATTTTTGTCTTTGTTTCTTAATAATAGTCTAATGACTGCCTTCCTCATATAACTAAATTCCTGAAGCAAATTAACTGAAGGTCCCTGCGTTAATCTTTGACTAGAATAGTAGGAGGGAAAAAACAAAAATAGGAAAAATGGCAGGGTGGATGCAGCTGGAAAATAAGTTGGAGATTTGTAAAATCAGATTGAGGAGCTTTCCCAGAAGGCAGAGCAAAAATATAAATATGGAAAATGTAAAAAGAAAGATGAGATATGGAGGGCATGGAAGGTAGAAGCAGAATGCCAATATTCAGATATTATGAGTCCCAGAAAGGAGAAAAAAACTGGATAAAAGATACATTTAAAGAAATAATGGAGGCTAGTTTTTCTGAATTAAAGAAAAATGAAAGGCCTCCAGAAAACGAAACAGACAAAAAAAGAAAATCCTTACCTAGATTCATTGTGGGGATTTTTTTTTTTTTTTTTTTTTTTAGGAGAGCTCCAGTGAGTGGTGGGTGGCAAGGGGTAGGGGAAGCTGGAGAGAGAAAAGGCAGGCTCTATACCCAGCATGGAGCCCAACCCGGGGGTGAGGGGGGTTCGATCTCATGACCTGAGCCAAAATCAAGAATTGGAAGCTTAACCGACTGAGCCACCCAAGGGCCCCCGTTGTGGAGAAATTTAAGAACATCAATGACAAAAATAAAATATGGAAGTTTCCAGAGAGAAAGAACAGATCATTTAAAAAAGAGCAAGAATCATGTTGATAACAGATTTCCAAGGCAACATTAGATACAAGAAGAAAATAAAGTATTATATTTAAAATATTGAAGGAAAAGACCTTGGAACCTGCAGAAAACATTATACTAAATAGAGAAGATTTATTTATATGCAATTCCCATGAGACTAGCACTAGCACAATTACGGTTAACAAATTATCAAGGCTCCTGGCCAATGCCATAAGAAAGAAAAAGATAAAAGTGGTCCAAGTGTAGGACAAGTAAAGCTAAAACATTATTTGCAGAAATAGTCATCCAACTTAGAAAAAACCAACAGAATTTTAAAAAACTATTAAAATTCATAAGAAAGTTTAGGAATTATAAAAAAATCGGTAGTATTTTTTTCACCACAAGTAACCAACCTAAAGTAAAAAGAAAACGCCATTCATAATAGCAACAAAAATCATAATGTATCTAGGAATTAATTTAACCAAGAATGTACAAGACTTTTATGGACATAAAATTTTAAAGACATATAAAATTACCTGAATAAATAGTTACACTCTTGAATAGGGTGACTTAATATGTCAGTTCTCCGCAAATTAGTGTATTCAATTTTAATAAAAATTTTTGATGAATTTTTGAGGAGCAATAAACTTGTCCTAAGATGTATGTGAAACATCAAAACTCCATAAATAGCTAAGTCTGTCTTGAAAAAGAAGAGTAAAAAGGAGGAATTTTTAAAGAAGATATTAAGACACTGCAGAGCCAAGCAATAAAAACAACATGGGAAAGATATAAGAACAGACACCACAGACCAATAGAACAGAAGCGTGCTCAGATATAAAACTAAACATAGAACAAAAAAACACAACTTGTAGCACCAGGCAGCAATGGGTAAATGACTTAGAAACAAATTTAATTCTGCAAAGCTCACATATTTAGTTCAGCCTAGAACAATTTACAAACTCCACTATCTAACAATACCTACACACAGATCTATCACTGACAGTGGGTTAATCCAGGAGCAGGTACATTTTTTACTGGGGTTAATAAGAGAATAACCAACTCTAAACCTCTCTTTCAGGCTTGTGTCATACCTCAAACATTCAGGGAGGCTTTTTTCCTTAGCTAACTAGGGCACATATCTTCTTAGGCAGAAGGCACTAGGATCATTGACATTTCTCCCTCAGTGTTATGTGGAAAGTAACAGCAAAGTCAACATTTAAAAACATCTGTGTGGGGATGCCTGGGTGGCTCAGTTGGTTAAGCGTCTGCCTTTGGCTCAGGTCATGGTCCCAGGGTCCTGGAATCGAGTCCCACATCGGGCTCCCTGCTCCACGGGGAGCCTGCTTCTCCCTCTGCCTCTCTCTCCGTCTCTCATGAATAAATAAAATCTTTAAAAAAAAAAAGTAAACACATCTGTGTCTCCTACATGTGGATATCATACAATCAAAGAAAAGTATGGGACACTGTGATATTTCTTGATCATTCCAGGCACATTCTCAGCTCAGGCCCCTTGTCACTTGTTCTGCCTGAAATTCTCTTACCCGATAACCTCACAGTTCACTCCTTCACTCCTCACCTTCTTCAGGTCTTTGCTCAAATAGTACATCATCAGAGAAACCTCCCATAACCACTCTATTTAAAATTGCAACCACCTCCTGCCCTCCCACCCCAAGGACACCCCCCCATTCCACTTACCTGCTTAATTTTTCTCCATAGTGTAAACATTGCACTCATTTCTTTTGTTTATTGTCTAATTCCACTTCTTGAATGTAAACTCCACTAGGGCAAAGAGTTTTTGTTATTTTGTTCAATGCTCATTCCTGGCACATAAAAGGTGCTCAATAGATAAATGAATGGTTATTGTATCTTATTCCCATACATACAATTTTTTTAAGGTATAAGCACCTAATTTGCAATGTAGATAAATTATTACTCCTTGATGGTGAATCTTCTTTACTTAACAGTTGACATTGATATACCAAAAAGTTCAAGTGGAACAGTTAACTAGTGCTTATTAATGTTAATGTAATGTGGATCCTGACAGTGTTTACTGGGTCATTTTCTTCTCCTTTGAGAGAAAAAGCATTTTCTAGGTGACAGAGAGATGAGATTAGTAATTTTCATCAATTTCTGCAGTTGTGTGTCAGGACTCAAAGTCATAATCTAAAGAGAAAATGACTAAATCTGGCAAAAAGAGAGTATTGGTTCAGTTGTATTTTAGAAATCTTTATAGTTTCTGAGTCTATAAACCTTAGCTTGTAAACACAAAGGTAAATCTGTAGTTATGAGGGAAAACATAGAATCCACTAAGGAGGAAGCCGGTGATATCAGAAGTAAAACATTTGTGGGCGCCTGGGTGGCTCAGTTGGTTAAGCGACTGCCTTCGGCTCAGGTCATGATCCCGAAGTCCCGGGATCGAGTCCCGCATCGGGCTCCCTGCTCAGCAGGGAGTCTGCTTCTCCCTCTGACCCTCTTCCCTCTCATGCTCTCTGTCTCTCATTCTCTCTCTCTCAAATAAATAAAATCTTTAAAAAAAAAAAAAAGAAGTAAAACATTTGTGGTAGACTTCCAATTGTGTCCTTTTCTCTGTTAGGGAATTTTGTCTTCACCCAAGGCCATGTGACTTGAAATGATCCTGTACTTTGACTATTTTTATAATAATGCTGAATAACCAACCACCCCAGTGGCTTACAAAAAGCATTTATTTTTCTTCCTCACAGGTCTGCAAGTCAGCTGGGATGACTCTACTTCAGGATGTGGCTTTCCTGGGCTTGTCAGAAAAAGTTTTTGTTTCACCCTGCTGAGTGTAGAATTCCAAGCTGACAGTTGGTTTTGTTTTTTGCACTTTAAAGTTACCATTTCATTACTTTTGGTTTGCAGTTTCTAATGAGAAGTTTATAAAAATTCTTATTATGCTCTTTGCCTTTTTTCCTTTAGCTGCTTTTAAGATTTTTCTCTTTATTACTGTTTTTACCAGTGTGATTATGATGTGGCCCGGTGTATTCTTTATATTTATCAGCACCTGGGTCTAGGGGGTAGTCCCAAAGAGACCAGGTCAGGCCACTCACCACTGACAAAATCCAAAGGCAGAGAAACTAGTGGTGGTAAAACCAGGAGGAAATTTATTTCAGGGAGGCCAACACTGGGAAGGCAGTGGACTAGCATCTCAAAGATGCTTCAGAGTGCTGAAAATACTTCTAGGTTTATATAGGGAAAATGTGGGACAAAGGTGGGTGAGTACATACAGGTGCCCAATGAAAGTCAAGTCAACCATAGTCTCCGGCCAATCATGGGTGGGGTCTTGCTGGCTCAAGGCAGTCCTTATTGCTTGAGCGGGTAGTTTCAGTTCCCATCAGGGAATAATTTGCCCTCAGGGTTTTCTGCCTAAATTAAGAGATAAGCAGGAAAGAAGAACTTAATTAGAAAGTTTGAGGTCAAAATGGAGGCAGCTGAAGTCCTCTTCCAAAAATTTTTATTTTTTTTTATATTGTCCCATAGGTCACAGAAGCTCCGTTAAATTTTTTCCAACCATTTTCTCTGCGTTATTTCGGATTGCTTCTACTGCTATGTTTCCAAATTCATTACTCTTTTTTTTTTTTTTTTACAGTGCTAAATGTGCTATCCGTCCCCTTTAGAGATTTTTTTTAAAAATTTCAGATATCCTAATTTTCATCTCCAGAAATTCTATTTGTTTTAAAGAAAACATCTCTTTCCTCTCCCATCATTTTCCCCCTTTAAATCATTGAGCATAGGGCGCCCGGGTGGCTCAGTTGGTTAAGCGACTGCCTTCGGCTCAGGTCATGATCCTGGAGTCCCGGGATCGAGTCCCGCATCGGGCTTCCTGCTGGGCAGGGAGTCGGCTTCTCCCTCTGACCCTCTTCCCTCTCATGCTCTCTCTCTCTCTCCCTCATTCTGTCTCTCAAATAAATAAATAAATAAAATCTTAAAAAAAAAATCATTGACCATATTGAGTACATTTATAGTAGATGCTTAAAGTCTTTGCCTGTTAATGCCACCATTTGTGTCATTTCTGAATATATTTCTGTTGCCTCTCTGATCTATTTTGATATTTTTCCTACTTACTTGGCACGTCTATTAATTTTTAACTGGTGGATGCCTGGTATTTTCAACTTAATGTTGTTGAGTTTTGTTGTTGTCTCTTAGAATGAGCCTTTGTTCTGGTAGGCAGTCAGGTGAGTTACTGAACAGTTCGATCCTTTGGGGGCTTTAAGGTCTTGAAGGGTCTACAACAGCTTTTACTCTAGACTCCAGAATCTAAGGCTAGTTTACCTCACAACTAAGGCATCACACTTCTGGGGTCTCTATAGCATATGCCACATGTTCAACAGTTTCTGCACTCTGGCTGTAGGGAACTTGGCTTACTCCTCATAATTGCTCCTTCTGGGCCTTGTGGAATTTCACATGACCTATCCACGGATTTTTATTCAGCTAAAGATTCAAGGGTATTCCCACGTAGATCCTGAAGCTCTTTCTCCATGAACTCCAACGCATAAATTCCAACCAGCCTGGCCTCCCCAAATTCCCTAAACTCCAATCCATGTCTCTTCAACCCCATAAGATCTCTGCCCTCCTGGTGAAACTCCAGGTCTCTTTCGGAGTTCCCCTTCCCTGCACCTCAAACTGGAAAGTGACTTTGGGCAGAAAGCCATATAAGGCTCATCTTGTTTGCTTCTTTTCTTTCAGGCCCCACAGTCCAGAATTGCCTGTCGCCCAATATCTGAGAACAGCTGTCTTCATATATTTTGCTTAGTTTTTAGTAAGTCCAGTCCCATTTTCTTTCCCCCAGAAGCAGACGTTAAACTCCTCACGGAAAATGTAAACTGTTTTACAGATGTTATTTGCCGCGGCTAAAGTTCACCCCTCTCCACGGTACGCCTCGTTTTTCTCCTTAGAAGATACGGTGATGAGATCGTGTGCTCTGGTGGGCTCTTCCAGGGACTAGTCTAGACTCTTGCGTAAGGGCAACAGGACACTCGCGCGCTCACCACGCGGAGACGCCAACACCCGTATTCTCCCGCGCGCGCCTCCCTCACCTCCTTCCTCCCTCCCCGGTCGCCAGATGCCCTAGCGTTCCGCGCGCGCCCGCTCACTGCGCCTGCGCGGCGTGTGGACGCCACACGCTCCCGGAAGTGGGAGGTGTCCGCTCGAGTTTGTGTGGCCGCCGCCGCGGGAACGCGAGCCCGGTAATTTTTCAACGGAGAAAGGCGAGGCTTTCGGTCTTGGCCGAGTGAGAGTGAGCGAGTGTCGGGCTCCAGCAACTCTCTTCTTACGTGACAGCCGGCATGGAGCATGAGCGGAGCAAACAGCCTGGCAGCGAGGCCGTGGCTGCCGCACGGCTGGAGTCTCCCAGGTCCGAGTGTGGGGAGGAGCCGCAGCATCCAACTCCCGAGGTGAGTCAGTCCGCGCCCGGCTGTCGGTGCCCGGCCCTTCCAGACCTGTCTCTCAGGGTGTTCCGCACAAACCTCAGCCTGCGTGCCCTTCGACCCCAGCCCCGGCCGCTTCCCCTGTCCCCAGCTCCGGTGCCTTGATTGTCACAGAGCTGCCTCTCGCCCTAATTACCCTCTGGATGTGAGGAAATAGTCAAGAAGAGAAGTGTGTGAACTGTGGTTTTACAAGTTCTGGTGGGAATTGTGCTCTAAATATTCTGTGCACACTGTTGCTGTAGTCATTCTGTCTAGCCCTTATAGGTAATTGGTAGGTTATGTTTTTAAAAAGCGCACCCTTATGCTCTAGGTATGTCATTTCTTAAGATCTGAAGCCCATTACCTCCCAGCCTTAACAGAAGGTGGTTGTGCCTGTTAGTTGGAGCTTTTTGCCCATTTGCTACTATTTCATACAGACCTATCGTATGACTTATTTTCCGTAATGATTTTGACACCTATTGGTAGATCCGAGTTACACAGCAAAATTAGTGAAGACGGTCTTAAAACTTATTTATTCATCTTATTTGACAGATAGAAATTATTGTTGACTAGCGCTGCAGATTGTAAATAATAGTAAAATTGGTCATTTCATTTCAATAGCGTATTCTGAGCACTTCATAGAATGGGTACTCGCAGGAGGCTTCCTTGCTCTTGTTCTTGCATCTACAGTTAGGTCCCCACTTAGCAGCTAGAATAATCTTAATAACATAAATCAGACTGGGTTTCTCCCCTTCCTAGTCTTCAGTTTGCGGTCCTGCAGGACTTGGCTCCTGCCTCTATTGCTGAATTCACCTCACACTATTCTTCCCTTTTGCTCTCAGAGCCCCTGGCTTCATTATTTTTTTATGGTGGACAGTTTTTCATTTTAAGGATCTTTGTTTGCTCCCTTTGCCCTGCATGCTCTTCTTTTGGGTCTTTGCATAGTTATTGCATTTTCTTTAAGATAGTAAAGAGGCCTTCCGTGCCCCTTTTCTCTAAAGAACCACTTTTCCACCCACCTCCCTCTTTAATCTGAGATCATCATGTAAGTTGGTTTAAAAATAATGGAATATACTTCATTATATTTGAAAGTCTTAAAACTTTGAGATATAGCGACTTGAGACTTAGATCTATGTTCCAAATTGGTTTTAGTGACTCATATTTGTTAAAAACTTATTGTCGATACCATTAATAAATGGTGATACAATTTTTTTTTCAACCTCAAGCAAGGTATTTTGTTGGAACTCAGCTAAATCCATTTTCATTATCTCTAATGTCAGTTGTTTTTGCAAACTAATAGGTGTTGCATTTTTATATTTTTAAGCAAATAGGTTCCAATTTCATCAAAACTTTTCTTTTGGAAGAATTTTAATCGAGCTAAATTATACTTCTAAGGTTTTTATTTTTAGTATGTAGTTGCAAAAGTTTTTTGTTTTGTAGGTAATGCAGTTTTTTGGGCAATAAAATAATGAAAACATTTCCAAAATAACTATGTTTAAAATGTTATTGACACAGAGAAAAGTTTTTGATAAAGTTACCTTTTTATCTTATTGTTAAAACATATTTTCTTTCATGTTGAAATAACAAATTGTGTTTTTTAAAAGAAATCTTCTAAATTTCAAGCTATTAATCCCTTTCTCATCACAGAAAATGACAGCAATTTTGGAGTACGTGTCTTGTAAATGAAAATATGTAACTTGAAGTTCAAAAACATTTTTAAGTACTTAAGGCAAGATAGTAAGCCTCTTTTTGGTATAAAAGATTTTTGTGATCATTTCCCATAAGGTAAACGTATTCTTATTCGGGATAATATAAATTACACAGTCATTTACTTGAACACAGGAAAATTGCAGAATGTCACCAAACTGTGAGAGTTAATATTCTTCCCCATACTATGGAATCTGTCCACCCTTTCCTCATTATATGTCCAGAACTTTATGTGAGGTATGACAGGGGGACATAGACATTGGGGAAGATGCCACTTGTCAATCTATGTATTACTAAGTAAACTATGCGTTTTAGTAGATTAATAGTACATGTGAGGTTTTTAATATTTTCTTACTGCTCCTTAGTGGATTGACTTGAGCAGCCTTCAGAAACCATTGGTGTAGACATTAAATTTGGGAGAAGACACTGATCACTGAGAACTGGACCTTGACTGCCCTGAGCTTCACTGAAAGAGCTAGAGTTGAATCTGGGAGAGGAAGCAGATCTTCCTTTACAAAAATCTGATTTATAGCAGATTTAAAAGAGGCCTTAGTGTCATTTGTGGGTAATTTTTGTAGCTACAGTTTTAGATAAGAATTAAGCAAATGAATCAGAGAGGACTTAGCCAAAGAGTAAATTTGCTTAAATTGACCGTTCTGTTTCGGTAGACAAACTGTTACTCATTGTTGACCTAAATTTTAACCTGACTGAAGATGAAGTTTAAAATTCAATATAAGTTTAAAGACACGAGATAAATTATCCTGATTAAATTCTAGTGATAAAGTAGCTAGGCATATAAATTTAAAGTATTATTGAAAGCTGGTTATTTCCTTAGCTTTAGTCAAAGATCAGCGTAATAAAGTTTTTTAAACATTTGTCAGCAAGGAGCTTTAATACAGTTACTCTTCAGTTTATAGACAATTCACACATTGGGATTGCTGATCTCTTCCTCTGAGGAGATAGGAGTAATTCTTGAGTACTCTAGCACAATACCTAGCATTGCATTTCTCGTAAATGTATGTTGTATTAAATTGAGCTTTGAGTGAGAAACAGTTCCTGAACCATTAAGATTAGTGCTAAGTCAGGGTCTTTGGCCTGTCCATGGTTATCCCTTCTTAATCTGTCATTAAAGTTCACGTGGGACAGTGTGGTAAATTATGACTAAGTTAACAAATTTTAATGTGGATTGATGGTAAGTTCCAAAGTCTTTTTGAAAATTCTAGAATGGGGCGCCTGGGTGGCTCAGTCGTTAAGCGCCTGCACTTTGGCTCAGGTCATGATTGCAGAGTCCTGGGATTGGGCCCCGCATCTGGCTCCCTGCTCAGCAGGAAGCCTGCTTCTCCCTCTCCCACTCCCCATGCTTGTGTTCCCTCTCTTGCTGTGTCTCTCTCTGTCAAATAAATCAATCAATCTTAAAAAAAAGAAAAAATTCTGGAACATAACCTAATGTTTGTGACATGCATTTGAAAAATAATTAACTTATAAATGGAACTCTGATATTTAGCATATTAATAATTTTGGCCTACCTGTGGAGTGATTACAGTTGAGTCATGTTTTTTCTCAACACAGATTTTGATTTAAGAGGAAAGATTTATAATACAGTAAGTGTAGTTCTTCTGAATAATTGGTACAAATGTGAGTTTTAGAAATTATGTGTTTTGAAACTGAATACATTTCCTTTGCTTTGGGTTCTAGGAAGTTTTGAACTAGATTTCTATCTAGTCCATTTTGTTTTTATATTGGGCAATTTCTGTTAACTTTGTGAAATGAAGTCAGGTTAAAAAATTCTCAGGGGACCTATGTGGCTCATTCGGTTAAGTGTCCGACTCTTGATTTTGGCTCAGTTCGTGATCTCATGGTCGTGGGATCAAGCCCCGAGTCAGGCTCTGTGCTCAGCGGGGACTTTGCCTGAGATTCTCTCTCTCCTTCTACCCTTATCCTTCTCACACATGCTTGCGATCTCTCTCTCTCTCAAATAAATAAAATCTTTTAAAAAAAAGTTCTCAGGAAGTCACTTTTACATGCATAATGTTGTAAAAGTTCATTTAAAAGTTAGTTTGTAAATTTTAGAATGTCATTTGTGAAAAGGTCTGTTCTATAGTCTATGATGGTAATAAAGATCCCATTAATTGCCACAGTGGGTATGGTGTTGGGAGCTGATATACATAATCTCATTTAATCCTTAAAATAAACTGTTTATTTAAAAAAACTTTTTAAGATTTTATTTATTAGAGAGAAAGAGAAGCTTGAGTGGGCGGGGGTGGGGCAGAGGGAGAGGGAGAAGCAGACTCCCTGCTGAGCAGGGAGCAGGACACAGGGCTGCATCCCAGGACCCTGAGATCATGACCTGAGCTGAAGCCAGATGCTTAGCCGTCGGAGCCACGCAGGCACCCCTATAATAACCTTGTTTAAATACTATTTACCATTACCAAATACTAAATGCCACTTGGAACAGTTATTATTCTTTATTTTATAGATAAGGAAACTGAAGATCAGAGGCTAATAAGTAACTATCCAAGGTCATGCTGCTAGTAAATGGTCAGCGGGGGCTCTGTTTTGAAGTGCTCCCAACACCAGTACAATTTTTACTTAGCTTCATTTCCTTTAAGAAGTTTCATGACTCAGAACAGCAGGGTAAATTGTATTGGAAACACACCTTTCTTCTTTCTATGTACTTTTCATTGAACATGTAGCATGAGTAGGCCTCAGGAGTTTGAATCTTTAAGATGTTTGTATTAATTATAAGCTATATCTTTTTTTGGTAGAAAAAGCAACGATGTAGATTCGATGGCCAAGAAACAAAAGGATCTAAGTTCATTACTTCCAGTGCAAGTGATTTCAGTGACCCAGTTTACAAAGAGATTGCTATTACAAACGGATGCATTAAT